GGTGCGTCGTGAAAGCGGAGAGGAGGGGGGTGTCCGCGCCTGTATACCGATTACCGTGCTGTTAAAATAAATGATAACATTCATCACTTGTCAAACCGGCCCAGAATATCGTCGCTGTACAATTCGGTCTGGAGTTTAAGGAAAGCTCCCCCCCCCACCACCACCCACTTTTAACGTGGGGGGGCTAATTCAATCACGTGGCTCTCAAAGTGCACCTGGCCTGGCACTCTGCCCGTCACTGCGTGGTGACTGTCGGGTTTCTGGGTATTGTCCAAACACAATGGCGAGGCAATTCAAGAGGCGCTGGGTGGAAATTCAATTCGTGGCCGTGTCCACGACGCAATTGCATTTGTTTGGAGTGCCGTAATGAATTGAAGGCGCTCGTTCTGTCCTCCAATTTCAAACGTCAATAACTTCTCCTGCTCCTAGCCGCCGCTACCACCACCACCACGACCTCCTCCTGGATTCCCGTGTCGTCGCGTTGTTGTGGGGCCTTGTGGTGTCGCTGTGTTGTTGTGTTGTGATGTTGTGGTGTTGCTGTGTTGTTGTGTGGTGTCGTGTCGTGGTGTTGTGTAGTGATGTCGTGTCATCGTGTTGCCGCGTCGTCATGGGGAGCGGTGGCGCAGCGGTTAGCGCTACGCTGCGCTGCGAACCCGGCGACCCGAGTTCGATTCCCGCTCACGGCCACAAACACCGCTGGCGATTACCTGAACCGGTCATGGGGCCTCCCCTAGGTCGACTCAGCCTCAAATGAGTGCCTGGTGCGGTGTGTAGTAAATATCGCCACTCGGGATACAAAGGCGGCCGGGCATGGTGCTGGCCAACCACCCCCTCGTGCTCGCTAACAGCCCTTGCCCCGACAGTCTGTTAAGGCTACACGGGGGATCTTTGTCTTTGTCCCAACTACGGTGGTCGTTTCACGATCCAGTGAGTGGAGGCGCTCGACAAAGGTAAGAGGACGGTGTGACGGTGTCGCTGTGTTAGACTCTACCGCTGTGTTGGACTCTACCGCTGTGTTGGACTCTACCGCTGTGTTGGACTCTACCGCTGTGTTGAACTCTACCGCTGTGTTGGACTCTACCGCTGTGTTGGACTCTACCGCTGTGTTGAACTCTACCGCTGTGTTAGACCCTACCGCTGTGTTGGACTCTACCGCTGTGTTGGACTCTACCGCTGTGTTGGACTCTACCGCTGTGTTGGACTCTACCGCTGTGTTAGACTCTACCGCTGTGTTGGTCTCTACTGCTGTGTTGGACTCTCCCACTGTGTTGGACTCTACTGCTGTGTTGAACTCTACCGCTGTGTTAGACTCTACCGCTGTGTTAGACTCTACCGCTGTGTTGGACTCTACCGCTGTGTTGAACTCTACCGCTGTGTTGGACTCTACCGCTGTGTTGGACTCTACCGCTGTGTTGGACTCTACCGCTGTGTTGGACTCTACCGCTGTGTAGCGCTAACCACGACACTCCCCACCCACACAATCACTCGTTCACTCGCTCACCTCGGCTGACTGTGACACGTATCCGGGTTAGGAGCTGTGGAACATGTCGCGACCCCTATTGACAGACCCTACCCACACCCCCTTCACCCCCGCCACCCGCCTGGGGGGGACCTTGTTGATGGACAGCATCTGTAAGGGCGGGGGGGGGGGACACCGCTCCATCTGTCACCGCATTAGCGACCCGCGTGAGAAGACGCCGCTCGCGGTAGCAGCGGGCGGGTGATTTGATTGAGCGCGGTAATTGTGATTGGGTGGGTGGTTGGCTGGGCGGGTAGGTGGGTGGACGTTTGGGTTGATTGCATGGTCGAGCGGGTTGGGTGGCGGTTGCGAACGTCGGCAGTCGGGTGGGTGAGCGGGTGCTTTAAGTAATGCCGGCGGTCCGGAGTGAGAAGGAAAACCAGGCCGGGATTCCTGCAAATATTCTCCCGAAAATTTGCGCGGCGGCGAACACCGATGAACCGAGCCCACTCGGGACAGCCCGCCGCGGATGTAACTGCACGCGGCACACTCCGTCAAGTATACAGCCCCTCGCCGTGGGATGGTATGTGAGCCCTCTCGTCTGCGTGCGAGTCTGTGGGGCTCGGTGTGAATCTGTGGCTCTCCGTTTGAGTCAATGGGTGTCTCTGTAAGTCTATAGATATCTTTGTGAGTCTGTGGGTCTCTGTGCGAGTCTATGGGTCTCTGCGTGAATCTATGATTATCCGTGCGAGTCTCCGGATCTCTCCGTGTGGGTGAGTCTGAGCCTAATGGGTGTCTCTGCAAGTCTGGATCTGTGGGAGCGTATGGGTATCAGTGTAAGTCTATGGATCTGTGCGAGTGTGTGAGCCTATGGGTGTGTGCCATTCTATGGGTCCCCGCATGAATCTTATGATTATCTGTGCGTGTGTGCATCTCTCCGTGTGGGCGAGTCTACGGGTCGCTGTGACTCTATGGGTCTCTGTGCGAGTGATTCATTATCCACGTGAGTTTTCGACTCACCCACACACAGGCGCACCTGACGTGAAAGCCCCGAGTGGAGCCGCCGCCGCCGCCAACAGCAGCCGTGGTGGCTCCGTGCTGACGGAACCAAAATAATTGTCAGGCTCGCGAGCTCCCCCGTGAATCCTGGAAAGGGTAATAGTTCACGGGGCCATCAAAGACTTTGCACGGGCAATTCTTTTTTTTGGTTTTATATATATTTGTTTGGGGGGGGGGGGGGTGATGGGGGTGGGGGTTCCACGTAGCGACGGGAGCGAGTTGCTCGTCAGCCGGGCTTTGATTGAGGTCGCAAAGTTATATTCCCTCGCCGAGGCCAGTGACCTCAATCGCACGGCGAACCCCGCGGGCAAAGTCTCGACGCGGTTTTTCATTTCTTTATTTTCCGGCAGAAGATCTGGCGAGAGGGGGAGGATGGAGAGCCCTGCTGCAAGTTGCACGCGGCACAATGCCTCGAGTCCGCTGCAGTGTTCTTCACTCATTTCCCGAGAGAAGGTGGAAGCACTTTGGCAGATGGGACATCACCAGTGTGAGGCCCACCACGCATTTGAAACCATTGGGAGTTTTGACAGCAGCACGATGATGATGATGCTGATGGTGGTGGTGGTGTGGGGGGTGGGGGGCGGTGGTGTTCTCACGTGTTGTGTACTGTCGGGGGTGCACGTCAGGGGGTTCCCACACTGCAGACTTGGTGACCCAATCGCCACCGCCACGCTTCCCTCTCTCCGCATTCACCAAAGTAACTCCTGCCCCATTCACATACTGATGAACTTGTCCCACGCCGCTTCACGCGCCCGATGATTCTTAAACGCGCGGCCCGCACAATGCGGCAAGCAATTAACGGTGTCTGCGTGAGATGAGCCGATCCACATTAAAGGCCGAGGTCTCAGTGTGTGTGTGCGCGTGTGTACACGTGTTCCACGTGTGTGTCTGTGTGTACGAGATACACTCGTGCGTGTACACAAGTGTTCCAGGCGTGTGTGCGCGTTTACACGTGTTCCACGTGTGTGTCTGTGTGTACGAGTTATACTCGTGTGTGTACACAAGTGTTCCAGGCGTGTGTGCGTGTGTGTACACGTGTCATACCCGTGCACAAGTGCTATACCCGTGCGTGTACACACGTGTTCCACGTGTGTGTCTGTGTGTACGAGTTATACTCGTGCGTGTACACAAGTGTTCCAGGCGTGTGCGCGTGTGCACACGTGTCATATCCGTGCACAAGTGCTATACCCGTGCGTGCACACACGTGTTCCACGCGTGTGTGTGTACGAGTCATACTCGTGCGTGTACATAACTGTTCCAGGCGTGTGTGCACGCGTGTACACGTGTGCGCGCGTGTACACACGCATTCCACTCGTGTGCGTGCACGCACGGTGAGAACGAGCGGCGAGGAGGACCTAGGGGAGGCCCAGGACGATTCAAATAATCGTCAAGCGGTGTTTGCCACGAGCGGGAATCGAACTCGGGTCGCCGGATTCGCAGCGCGGCGTAGCGCTAACCGCTGCACCACCGCTCCCCACCGTTCAAAATACAGTACACGTACATACACATGCGCAGCGTTACTGACGGACGCACAGATTTTCGAATTACTCAATGGCACGCTGACGTGTACACGTGGTTATGAATTGCTGGGCGAGGGAGGACGGCGTGTCCCGAGTCCGACTCGATACGCACGTCCCACGCGTCGTCAAACGCATCCTCGTCTGGATTTTGCGGCGGAACAAGGCTCAAAGACTCGCAGGATCTAAGCGAATGTCTTTTTTATTACAAAATATATTCAGTAAAATCGTCACATTATCTTCAATAACTGAAGTCGTCATCAAAAAACAAGTGATTGGTGGTACCGCTTGGGGCAGTGGTGTGCATGTACACACAAGAAAACAAACTCCAGCACAAACTTTAGCACCGTGATCTGAACGTGGCTCTTTCACTCCAGCGCTGTCCTACCAGACAGTCTCGTCCCTTCACCTGATGAAGGCCGCTTGTGTTGTGGCCGAAACGTCGTGAGAATATTATTGTGTTATTTAATTTTATCAATTTATTATTTTATTCTCATTCTACGTGACTTTACCGAAAGAACCAAAGAAGATGAATCATTGCAGTCACGAAAGCTTTAAATCGAAATTTAATCTGTTCTTATTTTGTTACTATTTTTTTATTGAATAAGTCTTTACTTTACCAGGTAAGGTCCACTGAGCTATAAAGCTCTTTTTACAGAAGTGACCTGGCCCACAAATGTGTGTATGTTGAACTTATTTCGCACCGAAACGTGGCTAACCGTGCTAATCGGAAGTGCCCAAGGACAACAAACTGAACACAAAAATCCGTTTTAAATAAATTAGTTTGTCAATCTAAATTATTGTAAAAGTGCATAGCTCTGGTGGCCTCCGAACATCGGAAGGAAGAGCATTCCAGACGGCCGCAGAGGGGCATCCAAAAGCGCGCGCGATGTGGTGACCGTCTTTGGTTCGATGGCAGGCAAAAGCCGCTGCGAGGATGACCGGCGTTCCCTCGTGATGGTTTATGTTGATCGCTCAACGAAGTGGCTCATCACGTGCACATTTGTCGCAGCCGAATACACGTTGGTTCGAAATGTGGAGGGGAAAAACTGGAGATGCACGCAAATTCCAAATATACAGCACGTGTCATCAGGGTCGGGATCGAACCCACGACCTCCGGCCGAGGTAATTAACACGTCCCCTCACACTAATAGAGGCCGTGCACACCACAGAGTTGCTGTTTGACGAACGTTGAGAGTTTTCATCGTTTAAAAAACAAAAAAACAGCTCTAGATTTTGAAGCTTTCGTGACTGCGAGAACCAAAGAGTTTACAAAACCCATCGCTACGCGGCAGCCCAGCGGCGCTGGCTCACCACCCAAGCGGCCGTTGCGAGGCCTCCTTGCGGCTCACCTCTTGGCGACCCAAGTGAACGAGTTGCAGCGAGCCTCCTTGTTCGACGCGTGGCCCTCGGGCCGAGGGCACACGTAGAACCGGCGGCCGAAATTCTGCCCGGGTTTTTTCACCGTCCTCAGCAGGCACGGCTCGCCGTGGCCCCTGCACGGCGGCGCCGGGGGCAGCCCCTTTAGCACCGACTTCCAAAAATCCGTGCCGAGATTTCTCTGCCGCGGCTGGGGGTCGTCGGTGGCGGGGTCGGCCGCGGGGTCGGCGGCGGGGCCGCCACCGCCCAGCTCCATGCCCCCCGTATCTCCCGCGCCCCCTGCGTCCTCCGCGCCCCCCGCGGCCATCGCGGCTCCCTCGGGGGACGCGCCGGAATCTTTGTCGCGACAGGAGACCGGGCCGCCGGCCGGGCCGCCGGCCGGGATCGCCGGGTCGAGCCGCGCGCTGCCCGTCGGGCGCTTGAGGAAGCTCAGCAGGGTCCCCCTGGCCGGCACGGCGGTCGCCTCGTCGGCCCCCTTCGCCCGCTTGGCCTTCGCGCCGTGCGACTCGCGTGCCGCACGCTTCCCCTTCGCTGCGGCGGCCGAAGGGCTCGCTTTGCCGGCAACGTTCGCGGCACGGTCAACGCGCCGCCCCGCCGGGCCGAGCGCCGAATCCCGCGAGCAGGCCTCGGGTTCGCCGCCGCCGCCGCCGCCGCCGCGGTCAACCGGCCCCTTCACCAGGAACGCCGAGAGCTTGCGCTGGCGCCCGGCGAACTCGGGCATGAGGTGCGCGCACAGCGGCGGGCGGCGCGGCGACGGCACGAAGTCGAGCGCCAGCGCGGCGCGCACGGGGCAGTGGTCCGAGCCGAGCACGCCCGGCACGATGTCGCACGCCGAGAGGACGCGGGAGGCGGCCAGGGCACCGTCGGCGAGGACGTAGTCGATGCGCGTGCCGTAGTTGGTGACGCGAGCGCCGGTGACGTTGCACCAGCAGGTGAACGCGTCGGCGCGCGTCGGGTGGAAGAGGCGGAAGGCGTCGACGAAGCGGGGGCCAGCGGCACCGGGCCGCGACGCGGGAGGGTCTCCGCCTCCTCCGCCGCCTCCTCCGGCGCCGTCGTGGCTGTGGTCGTTGTCGGTGGGCCAAGGAGGAGGTCTCGCAGAGGAACTGGATTCGCAGAGGAACTGGTCCAGCCACTTTCTGCCAGGGTGTTCTTGAAACAGCTCCTGCGGGTAGAATGAATGGTGGGGTTATCATTAGTTGTGGTGGAGGCCCATGTGATGATGATGGTGGTGGTGGTGGTGATTATGGAACGTGACAATGCTATTGATGACGATGGTGACGATGCTGAGAAGACTTCTTGTGACGATGACGGTCATGGTGAGGCTATTAATGCTTCTGATGATGACAATGATGATGGGCAGTGGTGATGATGATGATGATGATGCTGATTGGTAACGATGGTGGCGATGCCCCAATCACTCACGGGATCCTCTGGGTCGCAGTGGTCTATCGGTCTGTGTGCCGTGTTCAGGTCTCCGAGCACAATCACGTGGCTGCAAGGGACGGCGAGGAGAGGACACCGGAAAGACGCAGAGATGCTCGCGTGACCGGGGTCAGAGCAGCGGCAGAACCAACGGCACGCAACTTACAGAACCTGTCCAGATCCCTACCCCCACCAAAATTATCGGCCACTGTGAAATTATTATTTTTTTCATTTTACCAGAGGCACGTGGCTTATCATCGCGTGGAAATTTATAGCAGCCAAATACTCGAAAGGCACGTCGATTCTAAATGTGGAGGCAAAAACCGGAGGACCTTGGGAAAAACTAAACAAATAACGATATCGGTACCGGGGCTCCCAACCAAGGCCATGCGGTACGGCGCGTGGCACAGTTTGGCTCCAGCTATTAGAGTGTGGTGGTCGTGTCGCCACAGTTCTCTGCGGTGAGTGCAATGTCTTTAAAAACAACGGTGCTACGTCCCTCTAAGTGGAAAGCCGAACCGCTCCGAGATTCAGCGGTGAACGGGACACCCACCCTGCCACTTGCAGACTTCTCGGAAAGGGTTAAGGATATATACGGTAGTAATTTGAGCCTTCAGTCTTCACCTCTGTGCTGTTAAACTGCTCTGTGGGCACGAGTAACTGTATTAAAATGTACTATTTTACTTTACCTCGTGTGTGTGTTTGAAATATTTAACAATCGCTAATTTTGGAAATTACTCGCGTGCCGTTTCAATAAACAGTACCGTCGTCACCATCATACCAACATCATTATCATCATCAATCAGCTGATCGTGTTTAAACCATCTAGTGGCAATAAAAACTATGGAACTGTGAATACATTAAATCGGTATTCACTGTCCATCGCACCTACGAACACACGAACGCGCACCAGCCCCTACCTCTTTTTAAGTGTCAAAGAAACGTCCCCAGACACCCACACACAAAACTTATATCTCAACACACGCCGAAGGGGAGGGCAAACGGATCAAGATCTGTATTTAGGCTGGAGGAGGAAACCCGATGAGCTATGAAGCTCTTTCTCATAGATGTCCTAGGAGGGCAGGGTCAGAGAGTTACAACAACAAGAGACGATAGGACGACAAAAAAACGATGGGAGTGCAAAATAGGGAACAAGTTAAGCGGATCACGATTGACCAAGCTTGGGCAAGACGGCTAAAAAAAAACATCAACAAGAGAGTCCCAGGCCACGCCCAGATATCGCGTCGGTGAGAACCTCACGGGGACTTGGGATTTGGTGTCAAAACAGCGCAGGGCCATGTGCACGGGGTCCGGAAGAGAACGCGGCGGGCGGGCGGGCGGTGCAGACAGGACGAGGAAAACACCGGTTGCGCTGGGTGGGATGTGCGTGTAGGATGGAGGAAGGCCCGATTGCCGAGACAGGCATTGAGAGTGGCCTCTGTGCGAGTCAGTGGGTCTCCGTGCGAGTCTATGCCTCAACGTGTGAATCTACACGTCTCTGCGTGAGCCTATGGGTCCCCGCGCGAGTCCACGGGATCTCCGCGTGAGTCTGAGAGCAGATGTCGGGATGAGGCTGTCAGCGCAGAACCTTGGAGGTCGCCCCGCGTCTCCCCGTGCAACCAGCTGCGGGATCTGGCAGAGATGCCTCGATCCGTCTTTGACGGGGAGGGGACCCTCGGTTGAAAACCGTGCGGCTCGGTGGAATTCAGGCATCACAGCTCTTGAGCCACTGTGTTTCTGTCCTGGCTGAGGGGCGTTTTATAGCACCTCACTCGCACAGCAGTCAAGCGTCGTCCAAATTCACGCAGCAGCTCGGGGCGCTCGCCCGTCCAGAACTCTCACCTGGTTCAGGCCCTCACCTGGTTCAGGCCCTCACCTGGTTCAGACTCTCACCTGGTTCAGACTCTCACCTGTTCAGGCCCTCACCTGTTCAGACCCTCACCTGGTTCAGGCCCTCACCTGGTTCAGGCCCTCACCTGGTTCAGACTCTCACCTGGTTCAGACTCTCACCTGTTCAGGCCCTCACCTGTTCAGACCCTCACCTGGTTCAGGCCCTCACCTGGTTCAGGCCCTCACCTGGTTCAGACTCTCACCTGTTCAGGCCCTCACCTGTTCAGACCCTCACCTGGTTCAGGCCCTCACCTGGTTCAGGCCCTCACCTGTTCAGGCCCTCACCTGTTCAGCCCTCACCTGTTCAGGCCCTCACCTGTTCAGGCCCTCACCTGGTTCAGACTCTCACCTGTTCAGGCCCTCACCTGTTCAAGCCCTCACCTGTTCAGGCCCTCACCTGTTCAGGCCCTCACCTGGTTCAGACTCTCACCTGTTCAGGCCCTCACCTGTTCAGGCCCTCACCTGGTTCAGACTCTCACCTGTTCAGGCCCTCACCTGTTCAGGCCCTCACCTGGTTCAGACTCTCACCTGGTTCAGACTCTCACCTGTTCAGGCCCTCACCTGTTCAGGCCCTCACCTGGTTCAGACTCTCACCTGTTCAGGCCCTCACCTGGTTCAGGCCCTCACCTGGTTCAGGCCCTCACCTGGTTCAGGCCCTCACCTGGTTCAGGCCCTCACCTGTTCAGACTAGTATTAGAGAAACCCCTGAGCCCTCTGGCTTCACGCCCACAGAGTTGTCTGCCGCTCCAACTTCGCCCCTCGTACGCAAACGGAAAACTTTCACGAATTTGCAAGGAGCGCATTTGCCCCGCGGTGACGTGGCAGCAGGTGCCGCGGAGGGGGTTAAAGCAAGCCGCGGAGAGTGGGGCCGCGGCTGATCCTCATTATCGCTGCCACGGCACGCGAGCAACAGCGGCCCCCCCGGGGCCCCCCCCCCCCCCCCCCCCCCGTCGCTAAATATTTAATTTTGGCGAAGGCACAAACGTACAATTAGCATTTCACTTAATGCGCCGTCAAATAATTAAGGGCCGCTGCCTGCATGGTAATCTCGCGCGGCGTATAAGCAAATAAATATATAAGGATGGAAACCACGCGCGGTCAATCACAGCGACGCCGCGGTCTACGTTAGGGTTGGAGAGCCGGCCCGCGACTTTAGTGGAGCCCCCAGGCCGTCCTGAGCATCGCAGCCTCTCAGACAAACACACGGCGTGATCCATTTATAGACGACCCACTGATGCAACGAACGGGGGGATATTTCCGAGAGAAGAGGAGCCTCGCTAACCAGGCCCAAGAGTTTCGTCTCATCCACGCAAACGCACCGTAGCCAACGGCTACGCTGCTGGTCGCCAAGTCGCACAATCACTCGCTGAACCATCGACTCACCGGCTCACTCACCCACCCACCCGCCCACTCACCAACGTTCCGACCCAGCCGGTCAACCACTCACTAACCCACTGTACATATGTTGAACTTCTTTTGAACCTACATAGCCGACCGTGCCAATTGGAGGTGTGGGGGAAGGACAACAAACTAAACACAAAAAGCAGTTTCTCAAGAAATTAGTTTGTCAATCTAGATGATGATTTGAAAGCGCGTAGCTCCAATCACTCGCTGAACCATCGACTCACCGGCTCACTCACCCACCCACCCGCCCACTCACCAACGTTCCGATCCAGCCAGTCAACCACTCACTAACCCACTGTATATATGTTGAACTTCTTTTGAACCTACATAGCCGACCGTGCCAATTGGAGGTGTGGGGGAAGGACAACAAACTAAACACAAAAAGCAGTTTCTCAAGAAATTAGTTTGTCAATCTAGATGATGATTTGAAAGCGCGTAGCTCCAGTGGCTTCCAAATCTCAGGAGGAAGAGCGTTCCAGACGGCCCCAGAAGTGCATCTGAAAGCGAACAATGCGGTGACCATCTTTGATCGATGTTCGGCAACCTTCTGACCCACCCACTGCACTCACCCACTCACCAACCTACTGACCCACCGACTCTCCACTTCCTCCCCACTCACTCACTCACTAACTCTCCCACTCACTCGCCCAAAACTGCAGGTCAATTCTCTCTGCTTCTTCCCTCACACGACTTGCACTGTGGATCATTTAGCCCTTGCCTGGCGCACTTTGCCAAACACGGCCGCCGCGAGTTGCTCGCAACATTCGATGGTGCGCAAGCCGCTGTCAGTGACATCACGCGCTTTTGTCACGTACAAAGACAAAGACCCCCACCCCCCCGTGTAGCCTTGAACAGACTGCTGGGGCTGTTAGCGAGTAGCACCCACGAAGGCCGGCACGGCACACGACGGGGTGGGCGGCCGGCACCACGCCCGGCTGCCTTTGTCTCCCCAGTGGCGATGTTTACAGACGGCACCAGGTACTCGTTTGAGGCCGAGTCGACCTAGGGAAGGCCCGGGACCGGTTCAGACAATCGTCACCGGTGTTGGTGGCCGTGAGCGCGAATCAAACTCGCTTCTGAAAAGGAGCTTTATAGCTCAGTGGACCTTACCTGGTAAAATAAAATAATGTATAGTTTTTATCGTTTATAGTTTGCACGTTCCCTCCACCCTGCGATGTCCTGTAAATGCCGCCACTGCCAGCGGTTTTGGGCTGTGGTCACGATTGTCTACGTGACTCTGTGGCTCTCTATGTGACTCTGTGGCTCTCTACGTGACTCGATGGATCTCTATGTGACTCTGTGGCTCTCTACGTGACTCTATGGATCTCTATGTGACTCTGTGGCTCTCTATGTGACTCTGTGGCTCTCTATGTGACTCTATGGATCTCTATGTGACTCTGTGGCTCTCTACGTGACTCTATGGATCTCTATGCAACTCTTTGTAACTGCAATGTCCTGTTAGTGGGTGAGTGTGCTGCTGTGACCTGCGGTGTGGTGTGTGGTGGTGGTGGTGGCTGAACACAGTGGGGCATGAGATCAAACAGTCAGGCTGAAAGACCAAGTCCCACGTCACGGGCGGTGGAATCAACGATTGAATCCGAAACAGAATCTGTGTCCTGGAGAAATCCGATGAGCTTCTAAAGGTTACAACAACAAACGATACAAAAACAACGATGGCAATGTAAAGTATAGGAAGGGTGAACAAATCGCTAAAAATAAATACGTGAAATAGACAAAGCACCCCATTTAAAATTTTCCCAAGCTGGAGCAAGGCAAACACTGTCCCAGACCACACCAAGACCACGCAGTCAACTCAATAATAACAATTTCATTATCTCAAACAGAGGGCGATTGACATTCTGGCAGCGCGGCGATCGGCGGAGGGCCTCACCTGCCGCTGTTGCGCAGGGCGACGCAGCGCGCCTGCAGGAGGCGGTAGAAGCGCAGCTTGAAGTCCCCGCGGTGCGGCCTATCGGGGTCGGCGCGGGGACAGTAGACGTTGACGATGGCGAGGCTCCGCTCTTCCCCGCTCGCCGCCAGCCTGTGGGCACACACACGGCGCACGGGCAAACGCACAGAATAAACAACCACCGCCACTGAGTGGTGGTGGTGACGTCACCGCGGCGCTTCACGTCACCATTCGCCACCGAGTGGCACCGCAGTGGTGAGATATTAACTCCCTCGCCCCGTATGCAGGAGGTCGTGGGTTCGATTCCGACCTTGCGTGTTTTCCCCATGGTAGCGTGAATTTTTCTCCGGCTCCTCCGGTTCATCCCTCCACATTTAGATGCAAGTATTTCGAGTATTTGGCTGCTTTAAATTTTCACGCGATAAGCCACCTCGTTGAGCATTCACTTGTGGCCAGGTCGCTTCTGAAAAAGAACTACATAGCTCCGTGAATCTTACCTGGTAAAATAAAAAAAAATAGTCTAGTTTCGTTTACGTGGCAGTGACGTCACCCCTACATCTCACCAGGTACTCATTTGAGGACTGAGTCGACCTAGGTGAGGCCCATGACCGGTTCAGATAATCGTCTGGATTGCCGTGTATATAGCGCGGCGTGCTAACCGCTGCACTTCCGCTCCCCAAACGCTAACAGACGCACGCACGGACACGCTAAGAGCGTTTGGGCTTCACACACGGGGAGATGATAAGATAAAATGGTGAGCGTGTGCACCTAGCCTGGCAAGGCCAAAGCAGTCACCCTCCCTGGCCCTTGGTGGCGATAGGTGGGGTAGGAGCGGTGGCGCGGTGGTTAGCGCACCGTGTGTGCGCCTCTCTCTCTCTCTCTCTCACCACGTCTCCCTCTCACCTCCACCTTCTCCCCTCCCACCTCCTCTCTCCCCGATGCTGTGCGGCCGCTCACCGCACGCGGTGCTGCGTCACCACGGCCCTGCCCTCGGCGTCCAGAGCCTGCAGCTCGTCGGCGGTGAACTCGCTGGTGTCGCCGTAGCAGCCGACGCTGCCGTCGCTGCCGTCGTCCCGGCGACCGCTCGCCCCTCGCAGGAGGCCCGACAGCCCCTCCTCGGCGGCCAGGGGGGTCGCCACATCCCTGCAGTACGTGGCCACGCCTGCCCACGCGGCGAACACGCCGCTTTGTTTAAACCACTGCCGTTTGTGCGAAAATACGTAATTTAAAACACGCGGTGTCTCACGGTAACTGCGAAACTCCGCAGGGATGAGGCGATGCGTTCGGTTGGTATGCGGGGCCTACAGGGATGGTGATGGCATGGAGAGGTCTTCATCCAGCGGCGAATAGAGCCTGGCTAAAGAGGATGTGCGAACCAACATTTATATTTGGCCAACTGAATTTTTTTTTTTAACCCCGTGATAATGTTACATCCACAAGCGTACTTAATACAATTACTTTAAACTATTTTTCATTTGACCAGGTTAGGCCCACTGAGCTATATAGCTCATTTTCAGAGGCGACCAAGCCACAAATGATAGCTCAACGACGTGGGTTATCACGTGGAAATGTATTGCGGGCCAAATACTTTAAACGCGTGATATTCATTCAAAATGTGGAGGGAAAAATCGGAGGACCCGGGCAAAAATCCACGCGACCACAGGGAGAGAGACATGCACCCTCCAAATATATAGGCGTCAGGGTCGGGATCGAACCCACAACCTCCTGTATACCACGTGAGGTAGTTAACATCCCTCCACCGGGTTGCCGGGTTCATAGAGCGGCCTATTTTACCGACTCTAGAGGGACGATAGACCAAGTTAACACCCCGAACCAGGATTTGAACTCGAAACCTTCCGAATGCGAGCTGCTCGCTCACCCACCAGCTGACTCACAATACGTTGGAGATGATCCCTAACAGGGATGAAGCTGTGCGCCCATCTCACCAGAGTAGCCGCTGCGGACCCTCGAGAAGCTGAAGTAGGCATTGTACCCATCCACTACGGCCGTGGGTTCATCCAGGAGGTCCCCTAAAAAAACACACAAAGGAACATGGCTCCTGTAAACCTTCGCAGATGGTTGGGGCAGGTTCTGTAAGCGAACACATCTTTAAGGATGGCACGGCACACGACGGGGTGGCGTGGCCAGGACCACGCCCTGCTGCATTGGTCTTCCCCGGTGGTGATGGTCACACACGACGCAGCACGTGCTCATTTAAGGCTGAGTCGACCTACCTCTACCAAGCACACGTGCGCTCGTCCGACGATCGGAGGTGGTTTCAATTCACGCTCGCGGAGGAGTGGCTCAGAAGTCAAGAGCGCTGAGCAGGCATAGCCGGGAATTTGGGTTCGAATCTGGGTTTCAGCCACCTGTGATTATATCCGGTCCTCAAGCGAGTCTATGAACCAGGAGGTATGCAGAAGAGAGATTATAAAAGAGAGGAGATGCACTCATCAAGAGACATAAGAGGCACATTTGTTCAGGACACATGGGAAATATATTTTTAAGAGCTCTTAAAAGAGATAATTCGGTGATGTCGCATTGCTAGTGGTACACAAGTACAATAAAAAAAACGCAATACATTCACGTGCTATGAAGGGTCATTGCCCGAAAGGTCGCCTATAATAGATTTTTTTTATTCGATTTTTTAAGGCCACACACTCAGTGTTATTGATTAACTAGCGTAACTGCCCATCATATGACCGGTTCATAAAAATCGAATTAAGCAAAAAATACTAAAATGTAAAGATTGTATTGAAATATATGTATAAAAAAATTCTCTATACATCACATTTGGTGTTAATTCACGATCGTTATTCTGTAATGTTGGTGTGCAAAAGGAAGAGATAAAAATACCAAAACAGGGTCGCACTTGGTTTTTATCAAAAGCGGCGCTGGTATACTTAAGGAGAAAATTGATTACTCCTATAACAAACTAATAATTAGTTACAATGATCAATGTGTCGCGTTTTATTTTTGTAAGCGGTATGTGAGGCATTCAAACGTAACAACAGATATGGGTAAAACCCTAAGATATACTCGTAAGGGATAAATTATATTATTCAGAAGATGGAAGTGTTATTATATTGGGGATGTAAATCTAAACAAGGGGCTGTCGTCGTGGGTTGGAAATGAACCGCGAAACGCCAAGTTCCGGGGCTGCAGTCACGTGGGGCTGTGCAGTCAGTCACGTGGGGCTGCAGTCAGTCAAGTGGGGCTGCAGTCAGTCACGTGGGGCTGTGCAGTCAGTTAAGTGAGGCAGCAGTCAGTCACGTGGGGCTGCAGTCAGTCACGTGGGGCTGCAGTCAGTCAAGTGGGGCTGCAGTCAGTCACGTGAGGCTGTGTAGTCAGTCAAGTGGGGCTGCAGTCAGTCACGTGGGGCTGTGTAGTCAGTCAAGTGGGGCTGCAGTCAGTCAAGTGGGGCTGCAGTCAGTCACGTGGGGCTGCAGTCAGTCACGTGGGGCTGCAGTCAGTCACGTGGGGCTGTGCACTCAGTGAAGTGGGGGCTGCAGTCAGTCAAGTGGGGCTGCAGGCAGTCACGTGGGGCCGTGCAGTCAGTCAAGTGGGACTGTGCAGTCAGTTAAGTGAGGCAGCAGTCAGTCACGTGGGGCTGCAGTCAGTCACGTGGGGCTGCAGTCAGTCACGTGGGGCTGCAGTCAGTCACGTGGGGCTGTGTAGTCAGTCAAGTGGGGCTGCAGTCAGTCAAGTGGGGCTGCAGTCAGTCACGTGGGGCTGCAGGCAGTCACGTGGGGCCGTGCAGTCAGTCAAGTGGGACTGTGCAGTCAGTTAAGTGAGGCAGCAGTCAGTCAAGTGGGGCTGCAGTCAGTCACGTGGGGCTGTGTAGTCAGTCAAGTGGGGCTGCAGTCAGTCAAGTGGGGCTGCAGTCAGTCACGTGGGGCTGCAGTCAGTCACGTGGGGCTGTGTAGTCAGTCAAGTGGGGCTGCAGTCAGTCAAGTGGGGCTGCAGTCAGTCACGTGGTGCTGCAGTCAGTCACGTGGGGCTGTGCAGTCAGTCAAGTGGGGGCTGCAGTTAGTCAAGTGGGGGCTGCAGTCAGTCACGTGGGGCTGCAGTCGGTCACGTGGGGCTGTGTAGTCAGTCAAGTGGGGCTGCAGTCAGTCACGTGGGGCTGTGTAGTCAGTCAAGTGGGGCTGCAGTCAGTCAAGTGGGGCTGCACTCAGTCAAGTGGGCTGCAGTCGGTTCCACGTTAGGGGCGGCAGTCAGTCACGTGGGGCTGTGCAGTCAGTCACGTGGGGGCTGCAGTCAGTCACGTGGGGCTGCAGTCAGTCAAGTGGGGCTGCAGTCAGTCACGTGGGGCTGTGCAGTCAGTCAAGTGGGGCTGCAGGCAGTCAAGTGGGGACTGCAGTCAGTCACGTGGGGCTGCAGTCAGTCAAGTGGGGGCTGCAGTCAGTCACGTGGGGCTGTGCAGTCAGTCAAGTGGGGCTGCAGTCAGTCACGTGGGGCTGTGCAGTCAGTCAAGTGGGGGCTGCAGTCAGTCACGTGGGGCTGTGCAGTCAGTCACGTGGGGGCTGCAGGCAGTCACGTGGGGCCGTGCGGTCAGTCACGTGGGGCTGCGCCCTCAGTCAAGTGGGGGCTGCAAGCAGTCACGTGGGGCCGTGCAGTCAGTCAGGTGGGGCTGTGCAGTCAGTTAAGTGGGGCTGCAGTCACTCACGTGGGGCTGCAGTCAGTCACGTGGGGCTGTGTAGTCAGTCAAGTGGGGGCTGCAGTTAGTCAAGTGGGGCTGCAGTTAGTCACGTGGGGCTGCAGTTAGTCACGTGGGGCTGCAGTCAGTCAAGTGGGGCTGCAGTTAGTCACGTGGGGCTGCAGTCAGTCACGTGGGGCTGCAGTCGGTCACGTGGGGCTGTGCAGTCAGTCACGTGGGGCTGTGCAGTCAGTCAAGTGGGGCTGCAGTCAGTCACGTGGGGCTGCAGTCAAGTGGGGGCTGCAGTCGGTCACGTGGGGCTGTGCAGTCAGTCACGTGGGGCTGTGCAGTCAGTCACGTGGGGCTGTGCAGTCAGTTACGTGGGGCTGTGCAGTCAGTCAAGTGGGGCTGTGCACTCTGTCAAGTGGGGGCTGCAGTCAGTCTCGCGGGGCCGTGCGGTCAGTCACGTGGGGGTGCTTGCAGCCAATGAAGAGGCGCCCTGGCGCTGTTCCCCATCAGTTTTTAATCAAAAGTTAAACAAGAAACTAATATCCTGCACGTCCCTGTCCCCGCCACACAACACAAACGCACACAAGCATCACTTTTAAACAAGTAGTGTGCGCAGCATTTTTTTTTTACGCAGTGTTTATATGCATATACTGTTTTGAACCGTATTGTTAATTGGCGAGGGGGAGCATTTAGTGTAATAATTGTACACTTTGAACAGAACTAGGGGTAGCTTACTATACTCATCGACACCTAATCTGACAATGCGTACCACAACAGCAACGTTTAACAACAAGTCCAGCACTTAACACACGGGAGTGGCGCGCAGAGCCAAACGGCGACTCGCGAAGTTTTAAACGTCAAAGCGACCGCGACTTCCTTTGCAGTACAATGACGACGACAGCCCTGGCAATTACGGGGAGGGTGGGTGGACCGAAACGTTGGCCTTCACTCACTCGTGACTTTAGTCTCCTGTAAGCAGACAACGTCGGCGTCGAGAGAGTCGAGCAGGGCCTTGAGGCCCACGCGCGAAGCCCTGATACCATTGATGTTCCACGTCAGGACGCTCATGTTTCATTAATCGCCGCAATTGACGGCACTCTTAATTATGTTTTTGTTTTGTCAAGAGCCGCGTGGCTCACAGGGTTATAGCTAATACAATGAAACGGGGAAACGTTGCGAGTAGCAAGAGAGGATCGTTGCGTCGGTGGCGTTGGCGGGAAAACGCCTCGCTAGGCCCCATGTTGGGGGGTACGAGCCGGGTGCAGCAGTAACGCCGCTCGTGATTGGTCAGAAATGAGCCGCCCCTGCCGCGGCCCTCGGCCAATCGCCTCGCGACTTCTGTCTTGGGCCCTCCCTCCCTCGTCGCGCGTGTTGCTCCGGCGAGGGTCAGAGTCCGAAACGTCGCCTAGCTGCGTTGTAGGGTTGTCAACGCCGACTGAAGCTATACCGGGGGATGTGTGTGGTCCCCCACCCAACATTAAAACAACATATTCTTGGTTCTTTCGGTAAAGTCACCACGTAGAAGGGAAACAATAAAATAATAAAAATATAAAACACGAAAGCTTTAAATCAAAATGAAACAACAGTTGAATATTGATAATAGTTTTATATTTTTATTATTTTATTGTTTCCCCTTCTACGTGGTGACTTTACCGAAAGAACCAAGACTATGAATCCCTGCAGTCACGAAAGCTTTAAATCAAAATAAAACAACAGTTGATAATTGATGAAAATTTTTTTTACCCTTTTATCTGGCAACAAAACTGACACCTTTTTTTTACAAGGAGTCATGTTTACATTGACCACAATACCTGCGGTCGGAATGCAAACAAAAAACACAACTCTGATAATGTATGTGGCACTGTCCTTGAAATTGATTGGTCCACACCAGAGACAGCTTTTCTTAGAGCCCAGTCTCACCCCGAGCTCTCATACTCTGATGGTGCGTTGTCTTTGAGTTGTGCGCCTTTTGGCGTCTTCTGGTCCAACACCAATGTGAGACTAGGCTCTTAAGGAAAGCTGTCTCGGGTGTGGACCAATCAATTTCAAGGACAGTGCCACATACATTATCAGAGTTGTGTTTTTTGTTTGCATTCCGACCGCAGGTATTGTGGTCAATGCAAACATGACTCCTTGTCAAAAAAAGGTGTGAGTTTTGTTGCCAGATAAAAGGGTAAAAAAAATAATTATCGTATTTTGCTACTGGCAAAGGAGGTTCCAATAGGGTACAACAAATGTTGGAAAACAACAACAGCAGCTGTTTTAAAACAACAACAAAACAGCTGTTTTAAAACAACAACAACAACACAGCTGTCTTAAAACAACAACAAAACAGCAGCTGTTTTAAAACAACAACAAAACAACAGCTGTTTAATTGCCAGAAAGTGGAAACCCTATTCTTAATATTGTGATACTGGCAAGGGAGGTCCCATGGTGTAGCTGATCGACCCGAGCTCTCATTGCCCCTGATAGTGGCGTTGTCTTTGTGCTGTTCGCCTTTTGGGCGTTGTCTTCTGGTCTAACGCTGTTTGAGACGAGGCTCTAAAGAAAGCCGTCTCTGGTTGTGGATCAATCAGTTTCAAAGACAATGCATGTGTGGGGGCTACCGTCCCCCGCCATCACCGAATTGTCGGGGCCGCTGTCCCCCGACTCCGCCGTTACATTCATACTACTACCCCCCGGCTGTTCTGTGGGGTTCGGGTTACCGACCCCCAACTCCTCGCCCCCCTGTACCCCTGACTGTGTTGTCGACCGCGTAAGCATGGCTCAATTAGTGGGCTCGTACGCTTTACGCTTGCGGGGCGCTACGCGGGTTCAGTGGCGGCGCGCTGCGGTGAGCGCGTTCGCGAAGCACGACTCCGTCCCGCGCGTGAAACAAACGGGTACGGCGCGCCGATGCGTGACTCCCGTACGCAAACAAATGGGTGCGGTGCGCCGACGCGTGACTCCCTCACACACACGCTCTACGCGTCCAGGCAATAACAAACCCGACGCCGCTACCTGCCCAGCCCCGTACACCAATCACACTCGAGGGAGTTGGGGTCGGGGGTGAGAGGGCAAGGGGCGTCTGCCGTGCGCGCGCCGCTGATTGGAGGGAGCCACTCCGCTCCGATTTAAAGGGCCGTTTAAACAGCCGCGCGTGTACGCGCACACCAGGCGCTTAGCTCTCTGCTTCGCTACAAACAACCGCGCATGCACGCGAACGCAAGGCGCTACACTCCCTTATTCGCCGCAAACAGCCGCGTATGCGCGCGGACACAAAACACTCCGCCTCCCTCTTCGCACTCACAGCGATCGCGACACAGTTTTATCCTCTATTAGCGGTTTTATTCCCCGCGAATATCCCGCTAAACTACGTGTATAGAAATACAATAAAATTATATTAAAACAAAAAACAATCACGACGTTTCGATCACAACGCAAGCGATCTTCATCAGGTGTCAAGAACAAATCACGGAGGTAAATACAACAAAAAGATGAGAGACGAGAATTCACCAAACCTGAAAAAACATTATGTGAGACACATCCAGTCAGGCCAACAACACAGTTAGACACTTCCTGGCGGACCACGAATTTCAGAAGAGTGTTAAATTTCGTGTTCAACCTTTGGATTGCACATACCAGCATAGATAGAATGAAAAATACGAGGTACACGATCAAGTAGAAATACATATACAAGTCCACCAAGAGGTAAGGAGGGAGGAAAGACGGACAGGGAGGCAGAGAGAGGGGGGGGGGGGGCGGAGGGATGAACAGAAGCTTAAATAAGAAATACGGTTGGAGGGGGGAGGGGCCAGTGCGAGAGCGGCAGCTCAAACATGCAACGTCTTACACATACAAAACGGCAGCTCAAAAAAGGACCACCTCTTGTACATACAAAACGGCAGCTCAAAAAATGAGCACCTCTTGTAAATACAAAATGGCAGCTCAAAAAAGGGCACATGTTACACGTAATTACAACGGTAACTTCCCCGTAGAAGTGTGATAATAAAGTATTAAAGCTTTCGTGACTGCATAAAATGACTCATTGGTTTTTTCGGTAAAGTCACGTATGTAGAAATACAATAAAATTATATTAAAACAAAAAACAATCACGACGTTTCGATCACAACACAAGCGATCTTCACACATGTACTGCCAGAGCATGATGTTTTTGTTTGCATGTTCACTACAAGTAATGTGTGTGTGGTTAATGCAGACATGATGCCTTGCAAAAGGTTTCTGTTTGGTGTTTTAACATCTTAGGTCCGTACGGCACACAGCCGTTTCAATACGGGCAACAACAACAACAACAAAAAATGTGTCTCTTTGTTTGTGTTTCTCCCTTGTGATGGAACTTTGTAGGATGAACTTTGAGATTCATAAGGGCACGGGGTGACCAATAAGGTCTGAGTTGGTCTCTAACAAGCTAAAGGCACTGATGAGGGGCATGGTGTCACTCGACATCCTTACAAACGCGATTTTCCGTCTCCGGGGATGTCCCGCATATAATATCATAAAAAAAAAGTTTGCTGGCTAGCTTCCTGCCTGGATTCCTGCCTGACTGGCTGGCGTGGATGACGTCACCTGCATCCCACACCGTTGAGTCGTGATGACGTCGCGCACCTACTCCATAATAAAGGTTTCTTTTTGTTGGGTTAGATCGCGTCGATACACGTGTCGCTAAATTCGCCACCACCCGACACAGCCGATTAGTAAGGTTTGTCACGCAAACACAACGTGGCAATTAGTTACTGGCTCAGCACACCGGTTGTGTGTTGGAGATTAAATCCACTACGGCATTTACAATTCGAGTGCCGTGACGTTCCGCCGGTGATAACAACAACAACAACCAGCAACATCAGGCGATGAGCCAGAATTGTCAAGAATTCCTACTCCTGTATCGGTCTTAGATAGAGAAGCAAAGGTGATGCTTGTTCCCCTCCACCCCCACCCCCTCCACCCCACCAGCCACCACCACCTTCACCCCACCCCCTCCACCCCACCAGCCACCACCACACCACCACCAGCCACTACCTTCACCCCACCCCCTCCACCCCCACCCCCTCCACCCCACCCCCTCCACCCCACCAGCCACCACCACACCACCACCACCCACCCCCTTCACCCCACCACCCACCAACCACACCAACACCCACCCCCACCACCCACCCCCTCCACCCCACCACCCACCCACCACCACCACCATCACCCACCCCCTCCGCCCCACCCACCCGCCACCACACCATCACCCACCCCCTCCACCCCACCACCCACCAACCACACCAACACCCACCCCCTCCACCCCACACCCACCCACCACGACACCACCACCCACCCCCAGGACGGGTGTAGATATTCGTCACCGCTGTTGCCGTAGGTGGGAATCGTATTCGGGTGTCCAGGTTTGTAGCAAGCATGCTAAACGCTACACTACCGCTCGCCATACCCCCTCACACACTCACCCACCCACCTACTCACTCACCCACTCACTCACTCACCTCCTCACTCACCTCCTCACTCATCTACCCACTCGCCCACCCACCCACTCGCTCGTCCACCCACTCGCTCGCCCACCCACTCGCTCGCCCACCCACTCGCTCGCCCACCCACTCGCTCGCCCACCCACTCGCTCGCCCACCCACTCGCTCGCCCACCCACTCGCCCACCCACCACACTGCAGGTCACCTCACTTCTCTCCGCTTCTCTCCTCGCACTGTGGAATTCCTTTCTCCCATAATCATCATCATCATCGTCGTGGTCGTCTCTGTCTCCACCAAAGCTGACGGAACATTGTCTAAAACAGAACCATAAAAATCTGAAGCAAAATTTACAAATTAGCAAGCGTTCTAACCGCTCCGTATGTAACTCGGCAATGGACGTGGTGGTCACGACGGAGAGTAAAGTAGAAGTCACCCTACCGCTTGTGCCCGATGCGACACGCCACGTCGCGCTGGGCGCTCATAATTGATTCCTCGATTCTCATTTGTCCCGGGCCGGCGGGAATTAACGATGGCTCCTAAATCAATGACACGACGCGTTAGGCGCGTGCGGTTCCACGCGGGTAGCCGCCTACGTCACAGAGACTCGCCCCCACCCCCCTTCCTTTCCCCCACCCCCCCCCCCCCCCCCCCCCCCCTGTTCCTCACCTGCGAGACGCCTCTAATTGAATGATTCATAGATTCCACCCGCCCCACCATCCACCCCCGTCCTTTCCCTCCACCCATCTCTGCCCACGTACCCTTGACCCTTGCTCAATGCCGGGATCTCACGACCGAGCGATCAGGTGCACAACTTTTGGTTGCGTGCACGCGCGA